TGAAGAAAACAAATTCATATTTGTACTCTATGTTCGCTAGTGGATAGTACTAAACAGTCAAAAGAGCGAGCATCTACACTTGGAAGAAAATAATTCGCATAAAATTGCTAATTCATTATAAGGAGACTTCGAGTTTTGCTACGAGATTGACGTGATCGGTGGGTAGCATACAAGGATGAGTAGATAAATCACTTAGTAGAGTACAAATCACTCGATCTGACTTTTACGCCAACGTTAGATCAATTTTAACCTTGATCTAGTTAGGTGGTAGGAAAGCGAGTACTTCATGTTATAGTTTCAGTACGCATTGTATGGATATTTGCTCAATAACATTTAAATACGCAGTGTCAGAGTATCAGAGCGTCGTTGCCAAATAATTTCGAGTTTTACCGACGAAAAAATGTCAGAGTGATAAAATCTCTTTTTTAGAGTCTTTTTATTTTATGAAAATTTAATGTCCTCCGCTAAGAATAGGTGTTAGCAGAAGAGTCGTATCATTATGTGTACAAATTAATTCAGTCAAGGAACACATGAACCACAAATGAACGTTATTTGCCTGCTGTAAATCAAACATAACATTTAAAAAGCATAGTTTCATGTGTTTCCGTTTCATTTGCTACAGAACAGCTACTCCCAAGCAAATATCGCCTTTGGGAAAAATCCAGATACATTTCGTCTATAATTGGGCGATACACAAGTAGTTGCCATCTAAATTACGGGTTGGAAAAGGGACTTTTAAATAGATGCGTCTGTATGTGCATCTAGCAATAGTTAAATCGATCGGGCGATAAATCGATAGTTGCAGCTAGAAAAAATCTAGTAATCGCCCAATTACTTATTCATATGACAACTTTACCCACTGTAAAAGCTGTAACCACGCAAATTCACGCGTGAAAAACTCGAGAAATCACACGTGAGGTTCTGTTTCCATGCGTGCTTTTTTAAGTTTTTACATGTGAATTTCTGAGTCTGCGCAGGAATCCACCGCAGTTCAACAAATTTTTACTTTAAATTCACGCAATTATTCAGTAGTTTATCAGGAAAATGCACAATGAAGACTGCCGCATTAATATTTACAAGGTTGCCATCCACAATAATACAAGCATTAGTTTGTTTAGATAGCTGCGTATTATCGATAAATAGATAAGATGTGTGTCTGTAACATCTAAATTATTTTGAATGTTCATAATTAGTTCTTTGTATTAATGACAGGACTAAATTCTCTACAAAAGCCTTCTGCTCTTCATTTATCTCTCTCACCTCTGGATCACTCTTCCTCTTTCGATCGCACACGTGTACAATTCGAATATATACGAAATGAGCTGTCTAAAACTAATTTTAAACTTCAAGACAAAAATCATTTCTTTCTTTCTTTTTTATTTTGGTAACATACCATGGTACATGGAAAAAAGTTCAGACATATGAATGACTTGTAACCCAAAAATGAAGAAAAAAAACATTTAAATCATAGTTTCTGCCTATCTATCATGACCAACAACTGAAAAATAGGAAAAAGTTATGAAAAAGAAGATTTGAGACAGAGAACGACTAAAGATGAAGAGGTTCTTTTAAAGCCTTTTTAAAGGTTTGGAGAGAATTGATGGAAACGACCTTTTCTAGATCTTTAGCATTCCAGTCCTTTGCAGTCCTCCAAGAGAAGGATGATTGGACAGTTTCGAAAGGAGCGAAGGATATGTCGATGATATAAGAATGCGCTGCTCGGAGAGACCTAGAATTCAATTTAGTAAGATAAGCCTGAGATTCGAGAAGAGTCATTGTAAGAGTTATTGTAAATTTTGTAAAATGATATGAGTCGAAAGTACTGGCGTCTGCCACTGAGATCGGGCAAATCTAGTTTATTGGCTAGGGATAGACTATTAGTTTCGTAATTGAAGTTTCTGGTAATAATGCGATTTGCTAAAAGCTGAACTGCCTCTAATCGTTCAAGATGGGTGGTGAATTTAGAATCGCAAAATGCACTACAGTAATCGATTTTGGGTAAAACGCAAGTAAGATATAAAACTAAGCGAATTGACTGAGGTGCTTCTCCGAAAACTCGATTAATAACACCGAGCATTTTCCGACAAGATGTTGCTACATCGTAAATACGTGTTGCCCATTTCATATCGTGAGAAAGACGCATACCCAAAAGTTTAGGATCGGTATCGAGCAAGAGGTTCGAGTTTAATATAGTTAACTTAAAATCGGGCTTTATTTTAGGATCAAGTGAAAAGTAAGTGTATGAACATTTGTCAACGTTGAGTGACATATGATTTTTCTCACACCAGTCTGTTACTCTGTCTATTTCAGCTTGAACTAAATTCTTAATAACTGAAATGTTTTCCGATTTTTTGAATAACAGAAGCACAAAAAGGTCATCAGCAAAAAAGCTATCTATCACAGACGACGAAACTGGCGTGGGACTTCGGAATGAGAGTAAGCATGATGGAAAACGTTTGATCATTCCGCTGGCGAACGTAGCGTTTCATCGCGAGAGCCCCTCAACAGGGTTAAGTTCGCAGTGATATTTTGGCCCAAAAATGATCTTCTCGTGATATTTCGAAGCCATTTTTTCTAGTCGGCCAGCATTCTGGAACGCCGAATGTGCCGTCAACAAGTTTCGCAGTTCGTCGAGCTTGATTCTCTCTGTAGTCTATTGATTCTAATTTCAATTCTTTGGTCAACACTAGCAGGCCCTTCGATTTTCCCTTGTTCTCACCATCAGTGAAGAAGTAGGAAATCGATTGCATTTGACCACGTTCGTCGAGAAATTCAAGCTCATTCACTAGACACCGAGTGCCGACGTTCTTGCCGAAGCCGTTCGGACTATAGTCCTTGGCCGAATGAGTTCTCGCATTATCGACGACTACTTCGACATCATGTCCGGCAAATTCGCTCTTGAAGGCAATAGCTGGAAGAGCCGTTCGAATTGTTTGAGCACTGTTTCATTATCGAAATAGTTGTCCTGATCCACGTTGATGCCAGCTGTGGCAGAATATCCGACATATTTGTTATCGTCATCAATCAGGAGGCTCGGATACTTCTTCACTGCCTCTTGAAATTCTGAATAGGTGAGAGCGAAGAACGGCCCGGACGGATGTGACACCAGGAAATCGGAGATCATATGACTTCGGCCTCGTCCTTTGCTGAAGAAAGGCGTCTTCTCACTAATCGTCCAACGCTTGTGTGAGATGTCTCCGCTTCTAAACGTTGACTCGTCGTGGCCTAACCAGACAAGAGAGGAGAAAAAACACATCAACAGTTTCACAACAATCGAAGCATAGCTAACTTACATATCAGCACACACGGCTTGGGTACCGTCGGCATGCACCACATAGGCTGCTTTCCATCGCTCACAGTGTAGTAGTGAGCTTGACGCGTGAGAAAGTAGGAAATAAATTTCTTCCTGTCTTCAACAAACGTCTCGAAATCTCCCGAAATGAATGTGTCAGTCCACTTATGAGCAGTTCGGCAACGATGTGCGCCGACAACGGCCAGAAATTCATCGATCGTTCGCCAGGGAAGACCGAAATGCCGCAAGGTCATGTGCAAGAGCACCGATATTTTGCGCAGCCCACTCTCATTTCGAATCAACTCGAACAGATCGGCGATTGTCGACATGTCGTATTTTTCATCCACTTCCATGTCGACGACCTGCTCCTCATCAGATGACGACGAGTCGGTTTGCGAAGCTGTTTCCTCAGTCCATCTGACCGTCGCAGCCGTTTGTGACTGCCTTCGACGAATAGTTCTTTTTGGCATTGGAGAGTACGAGGCACGTTGAAACCACACGCTTCGATGAAAATGGACAACTGTGCTTATTTTTTCTGTTTCTTTTCTCTGTTCTATTATAAAGCATTCGCACACACTGCTTGTTCTTCTTCTCCAGGCTCTCTGTGCTGATAAAAGAAAGTGTGAAGTTATTTGGAATAGAATAAGATAAAGACAGAGCCAGATGCACAATGTAACATACTCTTCCTTCCCCCTCCACATCGAGTACATGATAAACACTGACAGTATTTTGAATATTCGCAAATAGAACGGTGAATCTCACTGTTTGTTTTGGACCCAAGTTCCGCAGATCTACTGAACAATCTCTGTATCATCAACGAGTATGAGCATCGTATTCTACATTGTTTTTAACCTATATACACATGTGAAAACTGCAAACAAATAAAAAAGAGCAGTTTTGAAAAAAACCTCTTTTTTCGTTCGTCTTTTTTTTACAGTAAAGTCTACATTTCTCCATGAGGAAAAACTTTTTTGGAAAAAGCGATGCGTACTTTTGTTCGCCTTCAAATAGTGATTCGAATGGTGTATCACGATCGGAGAAAAGTTTCAGAACCAGGGAGGAGATAGGTTTGCGAGAGAGGTAGCTCATTTTTTGGAATCCCTACTCTTGTCAAAATTGTGGAACATAGGTATTTTGTTTTTTGTGACTCGAAGGTACACGATTAGACTCAGTTTTTGATGGGGAATCCAAATATATCAAATTCAAAAATTACAGCGAACGGAAGGGGGCAAAATTTCAAGTTTTCTCTAAGTAATGCAATTTTTTTGTTTTCTAGGTGCTCTTAGTATTTTGAGAATTTCTCCACAAAAATTTGATCGAATTCGAATAAAAAGGTGATATTCGGGATCAGCGGAGTCAGGAGTATCTGAATATGTAGCTTTAGACCGAAAGCTAAGATAGTGCTGCATTTTTGAATTGCGGGCACCTTACTTACAACGCATAGAAGCGAAATTGGGCGATAATTTTCGATAAACGATGAGTCTCCTTTTTTATATACTGGTGTTATACTGGCTACTTTCCACTGAACTGGAAAAATCCCTGTTGAGATTGAAAGCTTAAATATGTGTACTAATTGATTTACGAGAACTGGTAGGCATAACTGTATAAACTTCAGCGAGAAACCATCAACTCCCTTTTTATGTCCTCAACAGTTTTCTGCGTACAAAATCAAATCTTTTATCAATACGCGTTACTTCGTTAGCCTGCCATGAATTATACTCCGGAAAATGATTCACACTCATAATAAGAAAAAAATCAGATTTTTGAACTTTTACGGTTAAACAGTTTTTATCATGCAAAAATTTGGTGTACCACACAACTTGATACATCAGAGAAGTTAAATTTCGAACATACGAAACTGAATTACTCACTGGTACTGTCGTTTCATTAAAAAAAAGAAACCATGTATGAGCGTTTTTTTAGCTGATTTTTAGTCAAATTAGGATCTTTTGATTCATTAATAAATTTGGAAATCAGTGGTGCAGAAACAGCAGATGGTGCAATTGCGTTTACTCTTATTTTATATTTACCATAATGACGGGCTGCTTCTTTTGTTAAACGAATTAGTGCTGCCTTCGAACAATTGTATGCAGGATTATCACCTTGAGGAAAAATGCCGGCAATGGATGATGTATTGATAATAACAGCGCCATTCGAATTTTGTTTAACCGTTTGTTCCAAACCATATTTCATTACATAAAATGCTTCATTTAAATTAACATTAGTGACTTGATGCCAACTATCCATTGGGCATTGATGAATTGGTATTGGTTGATGCCAACATTATTAATGATTGTGTCGAGTTGTGATTTCTGGGAGGAGATTGCTTGTCGAACGGATTCGGGATTTGTAACATCGGTTTTAATGAATATCCCTCTGTCCGCCAGCCATGGTTCGCGGGGTTCTTGTAAGTCGGCAATAATCACAACCCAAGCAGACAAACATTTGGAAAAACGCGTTTAAACGCTCAAAAGGGAACCGCGATTGTGAGTCAGTAACGCTCATTAAAAAAACGCAAGAAACGCGTTT